AGGCAGCCACTGAGAGTTTCTCCACAACTTTGGTTTACCAGGCTAAGTCTCCTGTAGTCAACGCTTGAAGCTGGTGAGAAAACTTTAGCTATTACGCCCGAAATTCAATAAAGTATGTATGCTCCACAACATCTGAGACCACGTATTTCACCAGCTTCGAGATTATGGCTTCAAATTGGAATGCTCAGTTGAAAAGTACCACCAGATCCACCGTGCAGCGCTGATTAGCCCCCATTCAGAGGCCATCTACTCTTTTCGCTAAGTATCATCTTGCAAGCAAAAATACGATTCAAAGAAGAAGCTCGAAATCGACCTCACTGCCTCTTCATCTTGAAAGCTGCCGACCTTCTGTAGGCACGACGTCGACTCTCCGGTGAATCATTCCACAAGTCAGTGATGGTAAGTTTCCATATATGAATGACGGATATTGCTTTTTTTGAGATAATGTTGACTCAAAAAAATCATTGAAAGTGGCACGAACTTTTGGGACAACCTAATATAGCAGGATCACTACAACAATGGAATGAAGCTGACCAAATTCATTAGATTGTGTTCCCCACTGCTATTTAGTTATAGGTAGAGTTTCTGGACTAAACACATAGTGGATGCGGGACGTACAGAAATGCAAAAAATTAAGGCTATATCGAAGCGTTCTCTCGGATAATGGTGGATAGGTAATGAGGCTTCACATTCCATGTTGTTACACGTTGCTTCATAAGATTCAAGATGATGTCAAACCTGAGGGACGCGAAGGACGCTTCCACCGTTGCATGGCAATGGCATTGCTTCGGCAAATTGCATACTGTGGAGGGGCGGGCCAGGCAGAAATGAGTCGAAGGCGAACCATTTATTCAAGAAATCCGGAACAGCGCTACCCTCAAGATGTGCTAGGTGAGCTCATTTCATTCCAGCCAATCTGAAATTGTGTGAAGACATTGCTGCCACCTTGTGACTAAGACGACTGAATTAGACTGTTGCATGCGCTCCTGAATTTGGTATCTTACTCATTAGTATTAGGCTGACGAAAAAGTCTCTGCGCATTTACTTCTTCTTGTTGCGATATTTTCGGTAACCGTTTCGAGAAGTTAATATAGTACATACGTTTCGAGAAGTTAAATATCCTACTATATATAAGCGGCTAGCGTGTGTCTGTTGGTGTGTGTGTTTGACCGGAAATTCATAGCTCGAGTCACAGTAACGATAGCGCAGTGGTTCTTACATATGTTATAGGGGGTGGGATGGGGACACAAGTGGTACGTGATAGGAACTGATAACGATTGATTACAGCTGATAAGAGGGGCTAGAAAGCGAACACCGTCAATTTCGTTTTGCCGTTCATATTAGTAAAAGAGCTTCTATACTTACAAGTCTTGTAG